AATGGCATCTGGGCGGACGACGGCGACATAGACCGGGCAATATTGCCATCGCGACAACTTTTCGATCAATCAATTTGTGTCTTCAACGTTACGTTCCCGAGATGGACGAAATGTTACCGCCGCCGATGACACCGTCTACGGAACGGGGCCATCGGCGGACAAATGGAGGCAACAAGGCCTTTCACAACTTTGCAAACGACTACTCTCATATCACAGACCCCACGTTAAGGAGACGATTGGCACTGAGCGAGATTGACAAGGTTCCTTTTGGCTTGTACCGTTAGTCCGCATCAAATACTTGCGCTCACCTCTCATTGAAAGACTAACACTGGACCGCAGATGTAAGAGCTATCCTGGTTGCTGGTGTTGGTTTCTTCCTCGACTCGTACGACATCTTTGCCATCAACCTCATCACTACCCTTCTTGGCGTAGTGTTTTGGCAAGGACCTCCTGAATCGAGTGCGCATGGCTATGGCGGCAACAATGGCGAACTGCCGGGTCCGGTCAACTCGGCTCTGAAGGCTTCAACCAGCGCTGGCATCATTGTCGGTCAGATCGTGTTCGGCTGGTTGGCCGACGTATTCGGCAGAAGAAGAATGTACGGTGTTGAACTTGGAATCATCATCTTAGCGACTCTCAGCGCCGCCCTGGTCTCGCCGAGTCAGTCGGTCAGCTTCACTGGGCTGATGATTTTCTGGAGGGTTATCATGGTGAGCGTCTCGTACTTTGGTGGTCTTGTCCTCCTACTAACTACATCAAGGGCGTCGGCATTGGAGGCGATTATCCACTCAGTTCAGTCATTACATCAGAGTAAGTTGGCTCTCAGCTGCTGATCCAAGAACCGTAACTAATTCCGTTCCCAGGTTTGCGCCCACACGATGGAGAGGAGCCATGATCGCGGCTGTGTTCTCGATGCAAGGCATGGGCCAACTAGGTGCGGCCGTCGTGGCTTTAGTCACCGCCGAAGCCTTCAAGGACTCTTACCTCGACGTCCACACTCTCGGCGACTGCCACGCAAGATGCCAGCTTGCTGCTGACCGTTCATGGCGCATCATCGTCGGCATGGGCGCCGTGCCCGCCTGCATAGCACTGTACTACCGAATCACGATCCCAGAGACGCCTCGGTACACCTTTGACGTGGAGCAAGACGTTGAGAAGGCCGATGCGGATATTCGAGCGTACATGGCGAGCAAGTCCAAGGGTGACTACGATCCGGATTTGCAATTCAAGATGAAGAAGGAGACCGGTCCCGGTTACAACACCCCGGCGGCATCCTGGCCTGATGTCTGGTCATACTTCACGCAATGGAAGCACTTTAAGATGCTTTTGGGTACTGCCTTTTCCTGGTTCTTCCTGGTAAGTAATGCCATGTCAAACGCTACTGGTTTGCACATACTAATACACTGGATAGGATCTGGCGTTCTACGGCCTCGGGCTGAATAGTACTGTTGTGCTTCAAACCATTGGCTATGCCGACGGAGCCAACTTCTACAAAAGACTACACAACCAAGCCGTAGGGTTAATTATCCTGGCGTGCGCTGGTGCGATACCGGGCTACTGGGTGTCCGTTTTCACCATCGACACCATCGGTCGTAAACCCATCCAGATCATGGGCTTCTTCATGCTCACCGTTATTTTCTGCGTGCTCGGCTTCCTGCTCCACCAGTTGACCGATGCCGTCTTTCTCACTTTGTACATCACTGGCCAATTCTTCTTCAACTTTGGCCCCAACACTACCACATTTATCGTTCCTGGCGAATGTTTCCCGACTCGATACCGCTCCACGGGACACGGAATATCTGCAGCGATGGGCAAGGTCGGTGCTATCCTAGCGCAGGTTATTAGCATCCCTCTGCTCGCCAAAGACGTTCCTGGCGACTGCCACGGCGACCATTGTGCGCCATGGCTCGACCGTCTCCTCGAGCTGTTCGCACTTTTCATGTTCCTCGGCATGTTGTCATCTTTACTTATCCCAGAGACAAAAGGCATGACCCTCGAAGAACTTGCCGGCGAGACACCGACATCCTACAACCGCGGTCGCAACGGCAGTATATCGCATTACCCCCGCCCGCAATCAAAGTGGAATCCCTTCAACGGTGGTCACCCCGCAGGATTCCATTACCCAAGGACTAGCACCGTCAAAGCAGCACGCGTCGGGATTATGACGTCCCCCGACCTTCTCGCAGAGGAAGAGCGCAGGAGAAGAAGTCAGTCCCGGTTCTGGCGCAAGAGGCGGAAAGAGAGGGGTGGCGGCAGCAGCATCGGTGGAACGGACGAGTACGCAATGAGCATACGCAACAGCGGTGTATCCTCGGCGTATACTGGGAGAAATATGGGCGCTGTCAACGAGCAGATGCCCGCCGATCCCGCGGCTCCCGGCGTATTCCCGACATGGGGCGCCGGGTGGGGCCGGGTGGATCATGGGGCTCAGCCCATGGAGAACGTCAAGTTACACGACGTGGGAAGCCTCCTGAGGCGGGATTCCCGCGCGTGATGGGTTTTAGGGGAAAATAGCGGGCGTACGGTCTTTGGCAAACCCTCCTGGATGAAAAGAGGGATTTTTCATGATGACGACTTTTTGCTAGATATGGATTTGTCTGGCTACAGTAGATAGTGTATGATTATGGCATCAAAACCGCCCACGCGGTTATTCAAGTTTCGCTCCAAAGGCATCTTACCCTGACCATTCGTCTTTTGCAATTTTCTCATGCTCACGTTAATTTCAAAGTGTACAAGGGATACTTTGATTAGTTCCCTCTGAGGGAAGCAAAAGTCGACTAAGGTACACAACCCGGAACAGTCCAGCTGTTCGCAAATGCTATGTGCAACTTGGTGTATTTTTCTGAGAAACAAAGCGTCTTTTTAACAGAAATCACTTCCCCCAGTCTCCAAATCGCTTACCCAGAGCCACTGACCAAACCTCGCGTCCTCCAAAACCCCCCAACCAGCAGCCATCTTCTCCAAACTCACCCTCGCACCAACAAAATCCTCAAACCTCCCCTTCAACTCCTCGTCATCCCCAGGGAGCATCACAACAGTACTCGCTGCCTCCTTCCCATGCACACCACCTCTCATGCGAAGATACCCCTCGCTCACCCAGTAATGCAGCCTCCGTCGAACGATATACACCGCGAGCTCTGTATTATACTTCTCGAGGCGAGACCGCTCATGCTCGTCGAAGAGGGAAGATAAAATAAGGAATCTTGGAACTCACCGAGATCTTTGGAAGATCCTTCCGCCAAACGCCGCACCTAACCATAATCGCATCGTCATTCCTCGGACCCGGCTGGGGTAAATCGCCGACAGAATGAGCCGTCGTCCAGCCGCCGGCAAAGACCGTGTCCCAGAGATCCTTGATGCGGTTGCAGCCGATATAGAACTCGGCAGCGGAACCGAGGGCCTGCCAGACGTCGTTGCAGGTTATGGCTTCGGTGTGGGATGCATTCGAAGCGGACGTAAACGGTCGGTGCCGGGGCTGGGCCGCTGCGGTGGTAGTAGGTGTCTGCTTCGTGGGCTGGGGTGCGGTGACGGGTGCTGTGGTGGTGGTGGTGGTGGTGGTGGTGGTGGCGGAGGTGATCACGATCGCGGTGCTCGCGGTGACAGTCGTTGGTGGCGTGGGCTGCGCGGTGGATTTCCTGGATGCGGCGGGCCATGACTGGGCATTGGGGGGAGGGGTTGAGGTAGGACTCCATTTGGTCGATGAATCTGCCTTGGCTGGACATGAAGATTCTTGACGATGGAGGTATCCGGTTGTCTGAATTGTGTTTTTTTGGGGTGTGTGGTGATCTCTGTCGAAGATGCTTAGTCCTATTTCTGTGCGTGATGGGGTTCGAAGGAAGAGATTCGACCTGGCTGCTTGAGACCTCAAGGTTTTATACACGACCGAGGATGGAGTCAACTACCAACTGTAGCAGTGAATCATGTCCATCTGGATAATATAATCTCACCTCATCTGTTGTGGAATATGCCAGGTCACAAGACAAGATCTGCTGATATTGGCTCGACTCCTCAAGGAAAATAACAAGTGGTTGTATTCGTCAAGTTCACCATTAAGATCGAGGTATCTACTTTACTGAATGAATGTAGATTAAAATGGTTCCATACGGATGTAGTACAACTACGGCAAGCCAGATCCTCGTATCTCGACTCTGCGTGCTTCTCCTTTAGTGTAGAGATGCCGGCTTCGGTTATAACACTATTATTTTTTATTTTCTCTACAAATGACGACTACTCTAGTGGACAGTGGGGATCGAGATTCTTATAGAAGGCATACTGAAGTGAATTTGTGAAGGTGAGGTCCAAGCTGAAGATAACGATCATGTTCATGCTCAGACTTCCTTGCTTGATGGAAGAAAGCCCAGTAGCTGGAGAATAAGAACTGGTCTCGAGCATGGAACTTGCAACTAACTTCTTTTTGTCCCCCAAAACATCATTCGAGTTCCGGAAAATGAACCGAAGTATATCAAAAGGTGTCTAGAGGCATTATTGGTGCATCACAATAACAAGGAGATTCTTCCAGTTGTCTTGTAGAAGAACTTCACACAATGTGCGTGGACTAAGGTACCAGTTTCAGGGAGTGCATGGCCCTAGGGACAATTGAACTGTTCAAAGAGTGCCTATATCTCTCAGTGGGTCAATAAAGTAGGACTGACTTGCCGCATCTGAGGTGAAGGTGAACTATCATAGCATCACAGACGCGTCCAACTTTGTCAACAGTCCCAGCAACCACCCAACAATCCAGCCCTACTTATCCCAATTCCCATGCCTCATCAGACAAGACACGCTTTTCTCCCACAAACACTTCCAGGCTTCTTTCCTCATTTGCCTGAAGTTTTCTGCGCACTTTGAGAAATTTCCCACCCTCACGCTTCAGAACCACAACAAAGCTGCTAAAGCAACTCGACAATCACAATCGCATATCGGAATCGTCTTCCCGGTAAAGGCTCCCATTAGCGCTGCAAGTCCACAAAGAGCATTCAGACTAACACAAAGGCTAAAACATGCAGTCCTACGGTGAACTGAAATCAACAGGCGCCATGCTTGCCATCTCAGGCCTCAGCCAGCTTTCAGACTCACAGCAGTGCATGTGCGACGACCTCCTGCAGGCCCTCATCCTGCGCAACTGCCCCATGGACCCCGACACCCTCGACCAAGTCCGCCACGAATTCTGGAACCGCATCTTCGCCAAGGGCTGGACCACCAATAAGAACAATAATGCTCCAGGCCAGCTCCCCAAGCGCACCAACGACGATGCCTCCCTTACCATCGGCACTCTCAATCAAGATGTGCCCAAGAACGGCAGCGTCCCGGGCTACCGCCGCGCCGGACAGTCTGTTCTGCTCAAGGTCAGCATGAAGGTCGGTGATCGCTGGGAGGACATCGACGCCAGCTTCTTCTGGGTCGATCAGCAGGGCCACCGTGGCTCTGAGCTCTCCAACGCCTCGATTGACATTGAGGGCGACCTCACTCTCGACGAGGCCAAGATTGAGGTCGGAATGCACTACGATACCAACGAGAAGGAGCGAGTCGGCGGCTGGAATTGGGACAAGGTTGTCTACTGGGGCCGCCTCCGTCTCCTCAACTTGGCTCTGCAGCTTAAAGTCACTAACTCGGAGGATACGAGTGAGCTGAAGCAGGTTAGGCTGGTCGAGGAGCACTGGTTGGAGAAGGAGGAGCTTCGACAGAACTTCCTGGTCCATGAGCAGCTTTTGAGGGGTCATTGAAGGACGACAAGGACGACGAAAGGGCCGATTGATACCCAGATGATGGATGGAGGTTGGTTTTGTTTCTTGAGACACATGGGAAGGGACGTAAAAGCACAGCATGGACTCTTGATTTCGCCAGTATGACTCAATACACGTACATGAAGGTATTGCCATGCCTGTTCTTATTACGCTTATGCATCTTCTGATGTAGCCCGTGAGATGGCCCCATACGAGGGGAAGTTTCTTCTAATATATGTCAAGGTGACGAATCCATACGGAAATCGCGCTCGACATTTTGCCCCTTGCCTAGATCTCGGATGCTGCCATCAATGTCACATTTTGTTACATTGAGTCTGCTGTTCCTTCCTTTCTATTGAAAAATCAGCACGCCAGCCTTTCTGACTTCCAATTTTGGATCACATCAAAGCAACACACCTGAAAGGGGCTGAGACTGGTTGCGCAAGGGGCACAAGTTCAACAACCCAGACGCTTTCACAGCGTTTATGTATAGAAGACTCACTCTCTTGTTCTTCTCCTTGTGACAATTATCTGAGATCAGCCTCCTCCATTGGCGCAAATCATCCCAAAAGTGTGGCTTTTATCTGACAACTCGGATAATGGGCGCCGTTATCCACCCATAGACTGTGGTTTGACCAGGCTTTCACAATATCATAATCCATAAGAGCCCTCGTTCCTTTCCGTTTCCTTCCATTTCTCACTAAAAATACTACCTAAGGAGCATCCATCTACGTCAAAAGTTGAAGTACATACATGTATCAACGCCATATAGCAGCCGATGGGATATTGGGTGACTTCTATATATGATACAAGAGGCCCTCCCTTTCTGATTGCGGAGATCTCGATAGCCAGCTTAGGGCGGGCAGACTGCACAATTCTCAAATATTTTCGATCAATGTGATAAGTTTTCACATCTCCAGTCCAAGATGCCTCTGCAAACATTTTCATTTCTGTTGTTTAATCACAGAAAGTCTAAGCTTCGGCCATTCCCAACAAGAACTCGTATAATGCCCAGGCACCAGGATCGGGCAGCTCTTGTCCCGCCGCGTCTCCCACATACGTTGCCCTTCCAAATCTTGCCTTCAAGTACCGCGTAGCCTCTGCCTTTTCAGAAGCAGTTTTGACAGCAGCCTTGAAGTCCCCTGACTTGACAAAAGTATCCGAGAACGGAAGTAGCACGTCCATGACAGTCCGATCACCCTCTCTCGCTGGCGTATGAGACTTGAGAGAATCAGCCGCAGAAGCCAAAGATGAGGCATACAACATCGGTGAGAATGACGCCGTGGACGGGGGATTAGCTTGCGCTTCGGATCGAAGGGCAGAGGAAAATGCAGACAGCAAGATACCCAGGATGGCTCCGAGGGTTCCTCCCATGTCGTCGACAGCTTCGATTGTGGACTCGAGGAAGGCGAAGACAGATCCGCTAGCCGCTGAACCGTTGTCGAGATTACGCAGCAGAGACTCGCATAGACCCTTGACCGCTTCACCGCAATCGCCGTCGCCCATCGCCATATCCCATTTCGTCAGATTCGGCTCGGCGGCGATTGCCCGTTCGCAAGCGGATCTCATGGCCTTTTCTAACAGCTTGGGATCAACTTTGATGAGATCTGACCTGTTTTCAGCACTGCTTGAAGTATTACTGTCGGCATTCGCCACCGGTCCATTTGTTTTCTCCTTGCTCGCTACTGGCCGAACAGTGTTTGGCCAGTAGACTGCACTTGTGGGACGATCGAGAAGCTGAAGGAGCTTGGTGACAGATGACTTGGACTGCCTTGCTGCAGCCGAAATGTTGCAGAGTGAAATGGAAAATCCGGGTGCGTTGAGAGACGTTTCGAATGTGTCAACTTGTGTTCGTACGGGGGTAATTGACCAGGTCGACGCCAGCTGAGTCTGTACTTCATCCGTGAGCGCGCCTAGCTCCAAAATTGAGAGCCCGCCGTAGTTGTTGATCAGAAGTGTGACCTCATCCCCTTTCTCAAAAGACACAAAAGCTCTTTCCGTATCATTCGGATCGCACAAGAGCTTCAGCATCCTCCCGATGAGATCGTTTACTGACGGAAAAGGGGCAATGAGCTGTTGGCCTGGCTCATTATGGATCCCAGCGCCGACAACGCACACGTCTTCTGCGACGGAGTGGTATTGTCGTCCTGGTACATGGCAGTGGTCTAGCGCTGAGCCTATCGACACCGTCTGGTCGTTGACAGCCCTGCCGACCTCTACACATTGATCGAAAGAATACTTCTCAGCCGCTGCCGCACCGAGGATCTTCATAGCTAGAATGAATTAGCGATTGTACTGGATGACAAAATGATCAACGCTGACTGAAAATATGACCTGGCATTCCTCTCCTCCCCACTCTGCTACTCTTGCTGTTGCCGATGGAAACATCGTCCGTGGCGGGGAGAACAACGACTTTGTCGGACAGGCCTGAGGCCTTTGCTCTCTCCGCAGCGAGTCCGAAGTGAAGTCTATCACCAGTGTAGTTGGTGATGAGGAGGATGGTCCCGGCATCGGAAGGCGCAAGTCTCATCGCTTCGAGAACTTGCTTCGTGCTCGGCGATGCAAATATGTCGCCGCATGCAACTGCTGACAGAAGACCCTCACCAACAAAGCCGCTCCATGCCGGTTCGTGACCCGAGCCGCCACCGCCAATGATGCTTACGGTCGATCGATCATTGTGCGAATTCGCAACGACACGTTCTGCTTCACTGAGAGTGAGATGAGGGTTCGCTCTAACAAGAGCCCGTAGAGCCCTTGGTACGAGGGTATTTGCAGCGGTGTCGGGGAAGTAGTGCTTTGTTGCCATATTGAATGTTTCTAAACTGATGATATTCAAATGTCACATGGAGGCCATTGCTGTGGACAGATTTCCGGATATGTGGTACGGGTAACGTCTTCCGTATTAAGCACAGCTGCCAGTTCCCCTCCGTCATACCTGGGTAATCTTCAACCGCGACCATTTACCACACATATCGTACTCATCCTCATCTGAGAACGCCAACTTGACGCGCCTCGAGCCACATGGGTATCTTGACGTTGGACTTTTCTCTAGAGCACTAGCTTCCTTCAGCTTTTCCCGAGTTCTGAAGCCTCGCAAACGAAAGGAGCTTCAAGCGAGTCAGTCAATACCCCCGAGACGCGCACCGCAGGCAAACAAGACTGGAGCTATCATTCTAGCCCACTTACCCCTGCCCCCAGACGCTTTGTTGGGGGGAGGCAATGGTTCATTTTTCCCCGCGGGTCCCCGCACAATAATCTCGCTCAAGTTCCCAGTTCGGCAATGCAGCTCATCAGACTCCGCGGACAAGTCCCGACATCCAACCTCTTTGCAACCGAGTCCGAAAGGTCGGCGACGCTCCGCTGCTCCGCACAACTCGGAAATAGCTGTTACAACTCGTACTCCGCAGCTCTTTTCACCAGGTCACGAGCGGTAGTTCCAGTTTCATGGTTCGCTAGGCCCCGCATACCGGAAAGCCTTAACTCAACCCTGCTCGAACCGCGTCTCGCAGTCCTTTCATGCAAGGAACCGATATTCATACACGACCACGACCATAGGCCTGCCATGACCTCATGGATGGAAGACAAGCTGCATCCGCGCCGCCCAAGAAGCGTGTCAGAAAGCCTCGGGGCCGTGGCCTGCGCACCAAAACCGGTTGGTGAGTTCAAGCCTCCCCAGCCGCACTATTACCCTCGACGCGCGGGTTGCTGACTTTCTGCACAGCTTGACTTGTCGCGAGCGACACAAGAAATGCGACGAACAGCAGCCGGTCTGTGGGCCATGCAGCATTTCGTCTCGTCACTGCATCTTTCCCCATCTTTCTCAAGATGCGGACAGAAGATCAAGCCCGGTTGCCTCGCACGTCGACCGCGTGACTCAGCGTCTCGGAGACAATGGCAGTCAGTCCCGCGTCGATGAGCTCCCGCAATCGATCGGCTTAACAGAGTCCAGCAGCCTCGAGTCGCAGACGTCGTCAATGCAGCAAGTCTCCCAGCCTCCCGGGACGTATGACGCAGCTCACGCGCCCTACGTGAGCCAGCCACGCGTAACGGCGGGAGTGTCGTTCGGCGACGTTTACAGCTACTCTCCCGAGACCGTCGCATCCGAGCTGTGGACCACCGATTTCGCCTCGACACGATGGCTCGGCCTGCTCGCCACCGACGCGGCGCAGGCAGACAGTGGCTTCTCACTCGCCCCGAGCCCCGCCCCGGAGGATGAGGAGCAGAGGCGGGCGGCGAACCTGCATGGCCCGCCCGATGCAACCAATCTCGAGACTCGGCTGAACGAAGTCTCAGATCCAGAGCGGAAAACTTGGCAGGCGGATCGGGATATCACACTATCTAACCGAGAGGCCGTACTCTTTCGTCACTTTACGGAACGATCGGCTCGTTGGTTGGACTTCTTGGATCCCCGGAAGCACTTCTCCACCTATGCAGTCCGCTTGGCTTTAAGGAATGCAGGTCTAATGAATGCAATCCTGGCTATGTCAGCCAAACACCTCTCAAAATTGGGAGGAGGACATCGGGACTCCGTTGGCAGCAATGGGGACACAGAGGAGGACTCCGGCGGAGAGTGGGTTCGATACTATTACGAGACTCTCCGCTACGTTCAAGAAGCATTGGCATACACCAGCTATACTGCTTCAGAAGAGCTCAATGCCACGGCCATTGTGATCTCGGCATACGAGATGTTGGATGAATCAGACGGTCGAGGCAACTGGCAACGACACCTGAAGGGCGTCTTCTGGATCCAACGATCTCAAGACGTCAATGGGGCATCCGGTGGACTGCGACAAGCAGTCTGGTGGGCTTGGCTTCGCCAGGACATTTGGGCTGCTTTTCGCGAAAAGAGGCGTTGCCTCAGCTTCTGGGCCGCAGACAAAGATTTTTGTGAACTTGACCCTCATGGACTGGCCGACAGGGCCATCTATCTGCTCTCGCGAGCCGTCAACTACTGTGCTTACTCTCGCATGATGGAGTCTTCCTCTTTGACTGATGTTTCAGCTTCGGGGAATAGAGCAAGGGCCGGAAGCGAAATGCTAGCTGAGATGGAGCGATGGAAGTCGTTTCTAGGGACTGAGTTTAAACCCCTCCCGACTTCAACAAGTCCGTCCGATGTCTTCATGCCGCTTTGGGTTCATCCTCCCGAATTTGGAGTTGCTCTTCAAGCGTACTCTTTCGCAAAAATACTTGTTCTTCTTCACAAACCGGTGTCTTCAGGGTTTGATGGATATATGAAGATGCAACGAGCACTCTCAGAGGCCGTAGATACGATCTGTGGCATTGCAATGGAATCGACAGACGAGGGGTGTCAATTACTCTCAGCACAGTGTCTGTATGGGGCGGGCCTATGTGTACAAGACGCGCTAAAGAGGACCACTATTCTGTCTCTGATTGAGAGAAGTGAAGAGAGAGTCGGATGGGCACCGATGGCGACGTGGCGAGATGACTTGAGGGAGGCATGGGCAAATGCCGATAGTCAAAGTCCGGATGTGATGCGTTGAAGTTCTATTATCGACCGTCAAGATACCCCTGAAGGCAGGAAATATTTGGACACCTTGCATCTATCTCATGCTTTACCGGCAGAGCTGCACACGTCCATCTGCCACTCCGTCAACTTCTGAGCTTCCTTGACGCCCTCTTCCATCAGTGTTGTCAGGTTTTGACTTGAGGCATTCTTTTTCAAATGAATCAAGTAGTCATCAAGAATAAGCTTATTCACGTTGACCTTTGATACGCCGCCAGCGATACAGCGCTGCATCAGGTCCTCAGGGAAATCGTTGGTACCGTGAAGCACGACCCGAACTCTTCCATCCACCTTTTCGCGAATCTTTTGCAGCCTGTGCCACACATCGAATTAGCAACGGCTCACACTCAGTGTCCAAGAGATTGGTCTTACCGGTCAAACTCCAATACGGGTCCCCTGGCGCCATATTCCCCATGCACATTCCCGAAAGCTGGCGCCAAAAAGTCGATACCGGTAGCGATGAAGTCCTCCACCTGCTCCTCCGTTGTCAAAGCCCCCTCAAGGTCCGCTGTATCCGCGATACCGTCCTCGCCGCCCTCAATACGTCCCGGCTCGGCCTCGGTCGCAATGCCCCTCTCATGGCAATATGCTACCAGGTCCTTGGTCTTGGCCAAGTTCTCGTCCATCTCGTAGTGGCTCATATCCACCATGATACTATCGAACGGCAACGTATCTGCCGCGTGTCTGATCATGGCTTCGTCCTGTGCGTGGTCGAGATGGATAGCCACGGGGACTGAGGCGGCGCGAGCCGCGTGCGCTGCCGCATGAACAAGGAGACCTGATGAAAAGGTGATGGCCCATGGGAATACTTGGATGATGAGGGGGCTTTTCGTTGCTTCGGCGGCGCGGATGAAGGCGAGGATGTTCTCGATGTTGTAGGCAATCGGCGCGACTACGCCATATTGGCCTTCCTCGGCAGCTTTGAGGATTTGATATGTCTTGTTTTTCGAAGGGTCCCACGACTTCATCTTGAATCCGATGCGTATCTCAGCGCAGGTGCCAAAGTTGTGCACGTTCAAGTAATAATTTTTGAACAAGACGGCTCTAGGCGATCACTCCGACAAGGAAGTTTGAGTTGCTCAAAAAGCCTCATCTAAGTTGACATAGCCTTTTGTCCAAACAGAGCGAGTAGATTCTTCGATACGCCTGCCAAGAAGCGTCGTGGTCTGGTGCCATTACGTCCGATGGATCACACTCGGCTAGGGGAAGCCTCGAATTTGTGTGTGCCCACGACTCGCGGTCGCTAGGCCCACCGGCCACGAGGCGCGGACTGATGATCCATGTAGAAACTTGTGTTCAGGCAGACACCACTTCATGGCTTTCTGACCAGGTCCTGTAATTACATAGCTGAACCTCGATATAGACTGTTTTCAACTGGAGATAGTCGGGATACTCATCGAAAGACATTCGCTTGTCCAAGTTGTTCATCCGCAAGGGTAGTGTAATATTTGCTCGTCTGTAAACCCACTCATCCTAACGAACTTTCCTTGTCACATCCCAAGTCGGTTCTCATTATCGTCCTGCAGTACTCCTCAAAATGGCTGTAGCCAACGGTCTCCGCATCGCCGTCGGCGGCGACGACGCCGGCTTCGACTACAAGGCCACAATCTCCAAGGACCTGGAAGCTGATCCGCGAGTGAGCACAGTCGTAGACTTCGGCCCCAACTCCGCGACAGACAAGACGGCATACGCACACTTCGCCATCGCTGCTGCCGAGGCCGTTGCCAGTGGCAAGGTTGACCGGGCCATACTCATCTGTGGCACCGGGCTAGGTGTCGCCATCTCGGCGAACAAGGTCCCAGGCGTCCGGGCAGTGACAGCGCACGACAGCTTTTCAGTGGAAAGAGCTGTCAAGAGCAATAATGCGCAGGTGCTGTGCCTCGGTCAACGCGTTATTGGTGTCGAGCTTGCGAGGCGGTTGGTTAGTGAGTGGGTGGGTTATGAGTTTGATCCCGTAAGTTGAGCCTCTCGCCTTTTTTACACTTTAGTATCTTGGGCAGTTGACAATATCCTTTCAAGGCATCTGCATCCGCAGCAAAAGTGAAAGTCATCGATGACTATGATCTGAAGCAGTCGAGTGGGATCAAGGCCTGAAGTAAAGCAATAGGAGTTGACAATTCGAACAAAAATATCCAGGAAAAAAATATGGCAACTTGCGGCGATTCACCTGACATAAGAGCTAAATAGTCACGGAGACCACAAAAAAAAAAAGAGTTCACCACCGGTTTGGCTACATCTCTTGGTGCTTATGCTGGGATTCGAAATCAGGTACTCGCTAAGCCTGTCGTCGAGTAGGCTGGTTGGCGTATGAATTAATTGTTGTCCATTAACCACTTCATCACCCAGCCAGCTTGAACCGGCCCGTCGACCTAGACGAGGGCCTACAGGCTGGTGACAGGAATTAACTCAGAGGGGTATATGAGGCACTTCAGCTTCACTGCGCATACCGATCCTGGGATTATTTAGCTCTCAGCTTGCGTACAATTTCAACCTCCCATGCCATAAACAAAAATGCAACCTTCCACACGTCCTTTACTTTTCATACAACATATTCACAACGAAATTTCCATCTCCCGTCGCTTGCAAGAAACTTTGAGATCCGGATCGGCCTCCTCCGCAAATCCGAACTTCCGCAATCTCATCTTGTAAGCAGTGTCGTAGTTCCAGTCATATTTCAAGAGCAGGTGAGCGATGATGATCTTTGCCTCACTGGCCGCGAAGAAGCGTCCTGGGCAACTGTGCTCTCCATGGCCGAAGCCAAGATGGTTGACGCTCGTAGTCACCAACTGAGCAGCCGCCTCTTGCCCCGGCTTGCCGCTCTCCCGCATACGTAAAAAGCGATAGCCGTCAAATTCGTTGGGGTTCTCGTAGAATACTGGATCTCTCATTCTTTCACCTGACACTGCGACAGAGGATCCCTTTGGAATCTTGGTACCGTCGGACAAGGTGACGTCGGCGATCGCTTGTCGGAACATCGAAGCTACAGGCATCCCAAGGTCAGTCAACTAAGCCGCAGCTGCCAAGTATGGAGTCGCAGCTACCAGTTTTGGAGTATTTGGCCACTTACAAATCTGGTTGGGCTTGAGGCGTTGGCTCTCGTTAAGCACACTGTCAAGAAGCTTCATATTGTAAAGCGCCGTTTTCTTCCACCCCTCTTTCTCGAGACATGCGATAATTTCTTCTCTCAAAGGACCAATCAGCTCGGGGTGCTGCAGAATGTCGACCATAGCCTGCGTGATCAGATCCGATGTCGTGCCGATGGAAACCACCGCTAACATTAGCTGCGACGCCCCAAAGTTGTAAGGCTTCCCGGCAGCATGCTCTTCGAACCAGTAGATAGCGTCATTGTACTCCTTTCCATCATTCTTGGCGTGTCGCGCCTCCAGTTCGGCGGCGACGAGGTCCCAGGCCTCCTTTACTTGGGCCTTGAGGTCCTTGCACTCAGGGATATAGTTCGTTGCCAATGTCTTCAGGAAGCTGGGCCAGAGGCGTAACTTTCGCATGCCCAATACACTGTTCGAGCCAGCGCTCGTTGCGGCATAGGTTTTCGCCGACAAAAATTCGAGCTGACATTCTCGAGATGAGGCGGATGATCAAGTCCCTGAGAACAATATCCTGGGAATCTGTCTTTGAAGTCAGCGGCCAGCCTTTGTCTCACTCTTCTTTTGGATCTCGAGTACATGATCCCAAGATGCGTACAGTACCTTTCGTGCCACCGAGGAACTCTTGAAGCGTCACTGCGCATTCATCTGACAAAGGCTGGGTGATCTTCGCTGTGGCAATGTTCTCTTCTTAGCCAAGCCCTCTATCCATAGAACAAGGAGTAATCCCCAGTAACTAACCTAGAGACTTGGTGACTCGTAGCTTGACTACATTTTGCAGAGGTTTTGTAGGAATTGCGCCTTCCATGAATGGTTCAAATCCAGGATATTTCGCCTGGAACAGCTACGTAATGATTTATGTTAGCAACGGAGTCCATAAGTCATTACTTACATAGTCATTGTGGTCAGAGGGTATTAATTATGTAGCTTACTTCAATGATAGGCTTATCAACGCTAAAGCGAGGGTCGTTGCGGATCTCCTCCCCGTGCTGCGGCCGAAGCATGATGATATTGCCCTGGTCCGTCAAGACGCGAAACGGCGTAGCCCCGAATCTTCGCCTTGCCTCGTCAAGAAGATCCCGTCCAGCTATGGCGAATGACATGATAGCCTGGGAAGAGGTCAATTGGAAGAATCCTTTTGGGTTGATGACGGGCAGTTTCTTGGCGTCATCGTTGCGCAGGAACCCATAGACTACAACGACGAAAGCGACCGCCAGCAGGAAATGCGATTGGTACTCTCTTAAGCCTCCATATTCGACAGCCACGGCCTGGATGCTCGAGGTTGTGTTGTCAAAGAGCTCCATTGCTCGAATATAGAAGATCGAGATGTGGGAATAATTGTTGACTCGAAGCGAGTGGTGATGAGATGATGGTGAGAGATCTGATGGAGATCTGCCGGACTGACACTTGCTACTTGACGGAAATGAAAAGGTGTTATATCGCTTTCCAGCCCGCCAGACAGACCTCATCATGATACGAATGCCCAATGTCTCGGATAAAGAAACTATGAGCTTGAACAAACGTTGACCGGACTTTCGGACATGCCATGGCTCCGCAGTCCGCACTGTAACTGCGGTTCTATCGAGCTGCAATCGATGTTGCAGAGCATTTCGATTGAGGGACCAAGTGAATACTAGCATTGGTAGCAAGCCCCCGGGCGCCAATCATTTTACTGGCATTTCACCGCAGTCCATAAATGGTACCGTGCAGATCATCGTGAAGCCGGTGGGATACTTCAGGTTTAGGAACTGTCTGAGATGACGTGGAAGCTCAAAAAGAGGTCGAAGGCACCTCGGGTTTTTGGGGACTCGCCGGGAGTTTCCTTCTTGAAGATGATTTGGAGCTACAATGATGGCTAGGGTCTAAAAGAGTTTTGAATGCAAACTACCAGAGTGTGCATATTTGTTCTTAAGGATTCCCCTTGATACTGAAGCAGTCATTGGTCCCAAATTACTTGTAGGCCCCAAGACCAGGGTTCACCGAAAACATTAACTACCTTAATGCACATGCATCAATGTGTCATACGTCATTGATTTTCTAATATTGGAACTGGGTATCTTCTCTGTCTTCTTCTTACCAAGCACCAACAATGCCTGCTATGGGAATATCAATACCTGTTGTGTATGAAGCCGTCTCGCTCAACAAGTAGACGTACGCGCCGCCCAGCTCCTGAGGCAGTGCCAGACGCGGCATCCCACCGTAATACTTCATTTTGGTGTCCCAGTCAGGCGCAGTCGCAACGTAGTACGTCAACGCCGTCTTGACGAAGCCAGGCGAGATTGAGTTGACACGGATGCCATGCTCGGCCCACTCCATGGCCAGCGTGTGTGTCATGTTGCGGATGGCACCCTTGGTCGCACCGTACGGGGCAGAGGGAGCGGCCTACAATGCAAAAAGAAAGTCAGTCAAAGAACCCCTCATCTTTCATCACCAACAACCCATCACACAACACAAGGACGTACCCGGTTCGGTCTGTACGAAGTCATGCTTGCAGTGAAGACGATGCTCCCCTTGCACCGGAGCTTGATAAACGCCCGCGCGGCGGCAGTCGCACAATTCCAAGACCCGTTGACGTTAAGCTTGAAGAGCCGGTCAAACTGCTCTGGTGTGAAGTCAAGCGCGGGCTGGTGCTTGGTCGCGCCGGCGTTGGCGACCATGCCATCGAAGCGGCCCGTCGCGGCGACTACGGCGTCGACGGCCGCCGCGACGCTGGCGTAGTCCGTCACGTCGCAGTGCTGGAACGCGAGCTTGCCGGGGAACCGCTTGAGCAGGCCGGCAAAGTCCTCCGCCGGCTCGGTGATGTCCAGGCTGTACACGCATGCTGCGTCGTTAGCGAGGCAGACTTCTGCGATGCCCAGACCTATGCCCTGATTTGCTCCCGAAACTTGATGTGCGTTTAGTAGACGAACCTCTTGGCTTGGCTTTTATTTTTTCAAGGGAACTTACTTGCAATAACTTTATCCTTGAGAGAGACCTTCCAGTCAGTGCCGGCTGGGGGTAATGTGCTAAGATAGGCAGGAGCATCGTTTGTGCCGTTGGCGGGGATCGCGGTGATCCCGTTGCCGTTCTGATCAGAGGAGCCAGTCATTGTGACGACGATGATGTGTGTGATTTGTAGAGAAAGAAAGTCGAAGTCGGTTTCAGTTCAAATGCAACGACCAACAGAGCTGAGAAATTAACTTGCAGGCGGTATCGCAAGCTGAGAGAGATACAGAACACCTTTCCTTGCCTTAAGTAAACAAGAGAAGCGGGCGAACGGAAAACGTTGTTGACCACAATGCTCGCCGGCGCCGTGGGACTCGTCGGAGATCGAACATGAGGAGGCTCCCGACACGCGGTTCGGTGCGGATACAGTTTCCGGATCGGCTGATGACGGGCGATTATGTAGAAACGCCGGACCGTGTCGTGTAACTCCAAGCCTCGTGTTTCTCAATTTGTTAAACATACAACCAATAAACCACGAGCCGATGTCTAGATCGCATATTGCAACCCATTCTTCGGAATCCGCTTGCCTCGAGACGCGGTCCTCCTACGGACTCGGCTAGCTTCCACTATTCCCAGCCCCATTATTTTCCATTGTCCCTCGAGTCGCGGGTGGCACACCCCTCCATCTGGCTTGCGCTAGTTGATTGCTCTTCCGGGGGTCACCCTCCCCCGGACCCCGCAAACTTCAGAAGATTCGTCTGAGGGCCCCCGGTTCCCCAGATGGGGGAGAAACATGGCAATGACTTAGTTCAGATGATCTACGAACCCTCGTTGGTCGTACGACCACCATACGAAACCAGGCTGCCTCTAGACAAGTTGCGTGTAAGCTGGCAAGCTGGCAAGGGCGGCACGCCGCACTCAAGACCAAGGCATCTTTCATCAAAGCCAACAAGTATTACTCGGACGCTATCGGCAACAAGCCTTCTTTACCATTTTCTTGTCTCGGCCAAAGCAGATATGCAAGAACAAGGTAGATAGTTGTGAAATACTTAAGACGCTTTTACTTGCCAGTTGCTCTCGGTTGGCTTTCGATTGGCAACTCTGGGCCTATGTTGGGAATTCTACTATATACTTCTCCTATCCAACAACCCCCTTGAAGGATTCAAGAGTATTATTGGGCCTTTTTTTTTCTTTACATCTCCAGTTCCCCAGTCAACTGACAGAACATCACCGGCAATGGAGAAGAACGAGACCGCAAGCAACGAGCATGAACATGCTCTGTCCAAGGGCGTGGAGATGGTGGGAGTCGATGACTACGTGGCCGACAGCGACGAAGAGAAGAAACTGGTCCGCAAGATAGACCTGTACTTGCTTCCTCTCGTCTTTATCATGGTTCGTACACGCTTGAGTCCCTGATCTTGATTCACCAGAAAGAAAAGCCAAACTACCTTGGTCAACAATGCACCATGCTAAGAAACCTCAATGTAGTATCTACTTTCTTACATGGACAGAACAAAGTAGGCCTCTCTATAAACAAACCCACCATCACCAAACCCCCATAACCTAACAATCATTCCCCCCAAAATAGCATCGGCAACGCCAAAATCGCCGGTATGGACCGCGACCTCAACCTCGACTCCTCCCGGTACTCCATCGCCCTCGTCGTCTTCTTCGTAGGCTACGTCCTCTTTGAAGTCCCCTCCAACATGATCCTAACCCGCACCCGCCCCTCTCTCTACCTCCCCGGCATCATGACCCTCTGGGGCTCCGTCACAATCGGCATGGCCTTTACGCCAACCTACAAAGCCCTCATCGGCTTCCGTGTCGTCATGGGCGTTCTCGAATCCGGCTTCGCCCCCGGTGTGCTCTTACTGCTGTCGTCGTGGTATAAAAAGGAGGAGCAGAGTAAGAGGTTTGCCGTGTATATCTCCGCTGCCATTTTGTCTGGTGCCTTTGGCGGATTGTTGGCTGGTTCGATTACGAGTGGACTTGACGGGGCGCATGGGATTGCTGGATGGCGGTGGTTATTTGTCGTTGAGGGGGCTGCGACGGTGGGTGCTGCACTGGTTGCGTTTTTTGCGCTGCCCGATTTTCCGGAAAATACTTCGTTGAAGAAGTTCAATGAGAAGGAGAGGGAGCTCGCGATTCGAAGACTCAAGACCGCAGCGGAATATTTGAGGACGGAAGAGGAGCCTCACTTGGGACATTGGGCGGCTTTCAAGCTCAGCATGATGAGCTGGCGGACTTGGCTCTTTGTCGTTGGTTACATGGTAAGTTTGATCTAATCATCAGCAGACCGAACAACCCCTTTTTCACTATTGAAGAAAGCTAACTTCCTCTCTCCTCAACAGGCCATCGTCGGATCCTCAACACTATCCTACTTCTACCCAACCCTAGTCTCCGGCCTGGGCTACCAATCCACAGCCGCCCAATATATGACGATCCCCATCTTCGGCATCGCCTTCGTCTCCACCGCCGTAACGGGCTACTTCGCCGACCGGCACTCCCGCTTCCGCGGCCTCATTCTCGGCGCCTGGATGACCGTCGCCATGCTCTGCGCCGTCATCACCTGCGTCGTCTACGACTTCAAGGCGCGGTACGCGCTGCTGGTCATCATGGCGTCCGGGCTCTGGGCCTCGAATGGATTGGCGCTCTCGTATGCGTCGGTGAGCTTCGGGTCCATGCCCAACGAAACGAGGGCCATTTCGCTGGCGTTTGTGAATGCCATGGGGAACTTGGCACAAATTTACGGGGCGTACCTGTTCCCTTCCAAGGATGCGCCAAAGTATCTGATGGGTTTTGGGGTTATTAGTGGATTGTGTTTTACGGGTGTGGTGTCTTATGTTGCGCTTCACGTCTTTTTGAGAAGAGAGATCAGGTCGGCATAGTTGCCTTTTCGTCAACTACTTCGTAGTGGGAGAGTAATTGACACATGTCTGATGGAACTTTGATACCCGGAGAACTGAGACTTTGGTCTAGAGTTTGATGTTACACAAGGACAACTTGGAGTGCACAACTTCGTAAAGAATTACGCCACGCTGAGACATCAGACAACATAGCTGACCTATAGGGTGCAAGACTATCTATATCTAGGTTCTCTGCCTGGCGTAGGAACTCAAAGACAGATGCATACCATCCCACCACAAGACACTACTACTGTTATAATTTGGAACTTTCACAGCTTCCCCTCTGCAATGTTGTACTCCGAGCCTCAATATACGGCTAGTTTGTTCTTCGCTCCGGGACATCACGGGAAGCGATGAACCGGATCCTACTCCATCCAAAGTCAACCGCAGACTGTTTGTAGAGCCCGTCGCGTCTTCGACAAACACCACTCCTTTCGCCAAGCCCATTAAAAGGACGTTGGCCTTACTGGAGATAAAGCTGTGAAGCTCCGCCGCGAGCGTACGTTCTACAAGTACATCTCTGAGCAGCTCCACTCCGCGCTCCCGGCCATCGACAAGGTCGACTCCGTCAACTGGGGACCCGGCGCCCCGCTATGCTAGTAATACCGGGCAGCCTCACAACCACAACCACAACCACAACCACAACCGACACAGCAAGAGCAGCAGCAGCAACAGCAACGACAACGACAACATATCCGCCAAGCAAATCATGTTTGTCGAGGCTGAAAAACGCCAGACATACGATTTCTAATACGAACCGGGGCTTTGGGGGTCTTTTCTATATATTGAACGCAAGGATAACGTAGTAATCGAGCGGCAAGCGACCTTGTCGTACACTTGACTACTAGAAAGCCTCCAAAAAAATGGTACTTGAATACCGAAAAACACACGCTCTTCCAGCTTTGCGGCAACGGTGCAATGTAGCGTCAGCAAACCAGAAAACAGGGTGAACAGGGGAATTTGATGCAAGTGACAATGAGTATGGACGAAAGTGACATTCGCTTTTCTGTAGGTCTACAATGTAGTGTTCATGATGTCAATCTGAAAAGCCACGGTACTGCTGGAAACCCCCAAACTTCAAAAATGCAACACAAATTGAATTCCCAACGAATCCTATTTCGACATTCGCAATTCCTCCACCGCGAGCTTCAAGTTCTCAATGTCTCGAGCAAGAATCTCGCGTCTATCCCGCGTCGCAGCATGCTCTCCGGCAATCATATGAAGCTGCTTATCATCCAAGCCCATGACCAGGTCAGGGGTGAATATCTTAAGAGGGCTGGTCTTGGCATCAAGTAGGAAGTGGAAGACGGTCTGCTGCAGCACAACGGCAACGAATCGCTTGCGAGCAACCTTGTAGTAGCTGCGTAGGATGTCATGGATATCTTCTCTGACCTGCTCAGCATTGGAGCGATCGGTTGTGAGCCTAGGGAGCATCGATCTTGATAACCACCATTCTGCAGCTTCGGAAGACCCAGCAGATCTCTGACTGGTGAAGTCGGAAGGGCTGCCGTTACGGTTTGCTACCGGAGTCCCAGGCCCTTTGGGAGTGACAGCTGTGGTATTTCCAGAAACCGGAGTTGCGACAGTGCTCGGATTGTTTGGAACAGTGCCTTGGGCGTTGAGGACGCTCGCCGGACCAATGGCCCTGTTGATCGCTTGCTAGAGTCTAATGGCCTGCGACTTTTGGAGATTGCTGTTGAAATAGTGATTCATGGTGTAGGGCTGTCCGCTGAGCTCGACATCGATGAGGAACTGGGCGTGATCCAAAGCTCTTCGATACGACGCACGGAGCTTAGGAAGCAGGAAGTTGTCGTGCAGCTCGTCGGAAGTGTTGCTATCGGTACACTTGAGTCGGAGTGCAGCGCCGATGAAATCATGGACAATCATGATTACCTGACTGACATGCTTCAAGACCAGCGGCTTCCACTTCTTGGTCTGCTCCCTGAAAACTTGTGCTAACATAGAACCCGAAAACTGACGTTGTATTAGTGCTGAACCCGATGCACGTTTTCGGACCCATAGTAAACTTACTGAGCCAAGTTCGGCACTGCGGGATTCGCGAAAAACACTTTCAATATTGCTCAATAGCGAGCTATTCATAGGCTCGGGGAATTGAACCTCCAAATTTCTCAAAATTCCGGCAAGAGCCTTGTCTGGGTTCGTGATTGCGTCGACATTCAACCGAGTGTCGAGGCCAAACTCTACCTCGCCTGGTTCAAACTTTCTCGTGTGGCCACGTAGCGCGAAGACCTTGTTGAACTGCTCGTTGAGATCGACAATAGATGTGATGAGTCGCAGCTTTGGGCTCTGGTCGAACATATCCTGTCCATTGTAATGACCGTCGCGAGCTCGAACAGCGGCCTCCTGAAAATCTGACGCAATCTGGCCAAGGTATCATCGCTGAGCGTCCGGCCGAGAGCGCGAAGGGCCCATACGCTTGAGCTCTGTCTCACAATTGTTGAGCATACGTTCAATCTCGGCCTTGACGTTCTTGAACTCCTTCTTCGAGAGGTCGCGTAGCAACCCACGCAGACGGATGGCGAGGCTGTCGACACCAACCCAGTTCGTCGATTTGAGTCTCGCCCAAGGATTGGTACGGAAGAATACCTTCTCGGATGAGTTTCTTTGAGCCATCGTCGAGGTGTTATCATCCGCACTGCAGTTCTTCACCACACAGTATCCGAGGCGCAGGGAGTGGCGTTTACCCTCAACAAGCTCGCATACGATCTGCTAAGTGGCGCGCTCGGAGGCAAGATCGGGCTTGGTGAGAACACCCATGATTCGAAGTCCCTCCGAATCTATTTCTTTGGCAAGGGTGAGAGCCTCCTGGGAGGCAATGTCGACATTGCAAGGGATGGCTGCCAAGATGATGGTGCGCTGATCCTTAATGTATCTGTCGACCATATTCCTGACGATAACAATGTCATTTTCGGTGGTCAGGCCTTTTGTAGACGTGTGGAAGATACCCGGGATGTCAATGATGATCAACTGGTTTTGCTGGCATTGTATGGTCAGCAAGTTTCATGTACGGACAACGTCAAATTCGAACGTACATTTGGGCCGTTGACCTCAATCTTGGAAACGTCTTCGACAAAGGTCGAAAGCTTCGGGTTATCTCCATCATTAAGACCGCGAAGTCCCATTACTTCGTTTGCCTACAGAAGATGGTACCCATCAGCATCAATACCGTAGCCTCCGAAGGGGTCTTCTACTTACCTCTGAAAAGATTCTCGTCCACGCGAAGTCTTCCTTCTCGGCATTCTCAATAGAGAACCCGAACTTTTTCAATCGCTTGTTCCGATCCCCGTCGGAGTCCTGGCTTTGAATGATGGAAATTCGAACTCTCTCGAAATCATCGCGGTGACAAGTGATCTGGGTCGCGTAGCGGGTGCAGAGCTCGCGAGCGCGAGGGAAGGCGAAGCTTGTCACGCTCCCTAGGACAGAACTCTTGCCCTAAGATTGGTCGCCAATTACAACAAGTTGCGGAAGGGGGACCAGGTCGGCGCCGAGCTCGCGGAGTTTGTCGATGGTCCGCGAGAACGTATCATCGCCGAGTGATTCGTAAGCAGAGTCGCGGAATTTGTGCTGGTCTTGGTGGTCTCCCATGTTCACTCTCTGTGTGGATTGTCTCTTAAACCAGAAATATTGGTTGTCAGATGAAGGGAATGGAGTGGTGAGGAATGAATGAGGGTACGAAGAACAAACTTGAGACAATCTTGGGCAGTGAGCGAAGGAAGATGGCTGGGTTGCGGTGGTTGACGAGGGCAAGTTGAATCCTCGAATTTTGTGTAAGGAAAAAAACAAGATAAGATGGAGGCAGGCCAGTACCTGTTGTTCAGGGGAAAGAGGCAGAGGGGTACCTTTTAGGTCGAATGGACAATTATGTGAGAACGAAGAGCGGACTTAGGGCAAAGGAAGGTGACCCGTCGTATGGCGTGCCCACTGCCGGCAAAAAGAGAGAAAGTTCAGGCAGAAAGAGGCCACGAAGATGCACTTCTACCGGGGCACAACGACTTGACTGGTGTATTCGAAGGCTCTGGAGCAGGCAACGTCCTTCTATGTCTCGTCCTTCGAGCCAGGCAAAGGTGAGACAGTCTTTGGCTCTTTAATGCCCATCAGAAAACTTCCCTTCATAAACGAATATCACTAGCAATAGTGGATGTTTGATGGGAGAAAGGGGATACTATTCATTTTTATGTCGAACTGCCTCGACGGGTCATCAAACACTCTTTAAGTCATATTTATTAGGACTTTCTCCTGTCAGGTCTTCGGGCCTACACTCCCAGGCCAGATCTTGGCTGAACCGACTTCTACAGATCGGTCAATTGGATGCCCTCTGATCAATGTCGGCCTAATCTCTGAGCTAACACCTGTGAATGCATCAATGACGAAGCACAACCAGAGTTAACTAAACGATATCTTTAGATCGATAACGACCTTTGACCAGTGCTAGAGTATTCGTAGCAATACCTATAGAATCGTCTATAATAGTATCATGTTTGCCTAGCCAGTAGGGTTCGTTCCACTCTCGCAACTACACCTCACAGTTTCCCTTCCAAAATTTCATTGCACCTAGAACCCTCAGGTTCAGAAACCGTCCAGACCAGATCAATGAGACACTGGCCCACTTGGACTAGGTATCACGAAAACAAAAATCTCTTCGACGAGCAGTAGGTACATTATAGAGGAAGTGGAACGAAGGCAGAGTCGAGCCTCATAACGGCAGACAGTTGGAAAGACATGCACAAGTATCACGGAGGTCTGTGGTTCGAGATACCAGATGGCATTCTCAATGCCGGGTAACCTCACCTTGCCCACCTTCCAATCATGCAAGAGCTTTAAAACACCCACACAAGCTTAAATACCTTCGCCAAATCACAGTATTTCTCTTCCCAGAGATGGTGAATATGCCATGTGAAAACTTATCATGGGTCAGTCAGTGGGTTTCAGAGCACTCACTCCAGCGACTGATGCAACCCTAGAAGACCTCACGGCAAGACTAACATGTAGGTTGTCGATATAAAATGACATTGCTGATGCTGATCTACTCAAGCCCTGATTGCTCGTTGGCATCGCTATTGAATATGCTACACAATAAAACATAGAAATGAGAAGACACGTTGTGTCGTGCCGTAACCTGACTTGCTGCACTTTTCCGCCTCCCATTCCCAGGGTATTTCCTCAGCCGGATGTTGGCTTCTTCTTGTCCATGACGCCCTTCAACACCTTAAGCTTCTCTTCCGTCACCTTGATTGCCTCTTCGATCTCCCGCTCATCCATGCGGTCCTCTCTGACCCTCTCCTCCGCCGTGCTCGGCTCCATTGCTCGCTTCCGCGTGGGCAAATTGCCATCGTGCAAGCGCTCCAACCCGACTCTCTCCTCCAGCCACTCCCAGAGCTCACTCTCTTCGCGTCTCCACATCTCGTGGTACGCCGCAAGGCGGTCTGGGTAACCATACATGCGCATGTCTCCAGATGCTTGTCTACCAGGCAGGCCAAAGCCAAACCAAGTCGCAACTAGGAGACCGACTAGGAGACCATACATCATATTGCCTGTGAGCAGTGGTTTGGCGATGTCCAGGATTGGCTCGAGAATGCCTCGGACGGGCTCCAACGGGCCCCAATCTGTCTTTGGAACGTGCCTGGGCCGGACCTGCTCGTCCTCGGCATCCGTCGTTGAGCCGGCCGCCTTGCTCTTCTTGCTTTTCTTCTTGCCCTTGGGGCCCGATCCCGCTCCCGCACCGCTTGCGCGGGCTTTGGTAGATACAGCTGATTTCAGACTAGCGAAAAGGTCCTTGCAGTGCTGAGTCTGGCCGTCGTTCGCTCCCTTTTCAATAGGACCTTCATCATGTTAGCTCGTATCATTAACGTAAGCCAAGTCTTCGGCACTCACCCTTCAACCAACTCTTGCCCGTCCACTCGATAGTGCAATTGGATTGCACTCTGGTAGAGTTGTTGTCGGCCCACGTCAAACAATACTTCGTCTTGACGCTGAAAATATTGCCGTTCGGCACATCAGGTGTTTGTGTGGTGACGCTAAAGTTGATGGCTTTCTCAAAGTCCAGATGATCCAAAGTCTCCGTCACAAGACACTTGGTCTGCCTTGGGCCAATGGCTCCATTGAGTGGCTTGATGTAGGTGAAATATCGAGATTTGTTATCAAGAGTCAACCCCTTCTTGTCCTCCATGGTAAGTTCTGTGCACTTGGCCTCAACAGTAAGCCATTTGGTCATCCAAGTGACCGAGGCTGGACCGAAGAGTAAGTTGTACACCTTGCCCAGAGGCGCAGGGATAACGTCGTCTCCGACAACCCTGTCGTAATGCGTATCAGAGTCTCCGCAGTCTGTCGCCGCGTGAGTGGCCGGGCCGGGAAAATCATTGCCACCAGGAGCAGCACCGACAGCCTCCTTGACGACATCGGCGACAGCGCCATTAGCACCTGCGCCAGATACCTTGCGAGATACAGTTTTTCCGCCTTCAGGCTCAGCGTTAACTTCTGACAGCTGGGTGACATCTTGCAAGTCTTCCGCATCATCGTCTTCGTCGTAAACGTCGTCGTCGTCGCCAGAGTCACTCTCTTCGTCGGTGCCGGACAAACTACCATCATCAACTTCTGCTACCACAGCACTATTCGCGTCAACCTTTTCTGTCTTATCACCACCAGTACCCTCCAGCTGCACTCCGTTCAACGAGCTTTGTAAGGTCGGGTGTCCGAGTTTCCAAATATTGACAATCAGATCGTAAGTCGAGTCGCGACTGGTAAAACTGGCAAAAATATGCTTGGCGTGGAGGGTCGAAATCATGAGTCCGTTCTTGAAGACCAGGGCCGTGCTACGCTTCTCGACGCTTACTATTTCGTCAAAGCTCATGACGAGCGTGGTCGACCAGCCGAGGATGTTGCTGCTAAAGCACAAGTGGCCTTCGGATACGTATAGGCGGCCGTGCGCCAGGATCTCGCGCTGCAACGCACAGCTGTAGTCTTCGATGAGGTAATCGTCGTCGGGCACGCTCTTGAAAAATCCATGGAAATCCCGGTTGCGCTTCTTGCTCGCAACCGCAAATCCAGTAAGTTTCGGTACGCTCGCGTTGGCTTGAGGGTGAGCAAGAGACGCGTTAGCCGCAGCAATGGCAGCGCCAATAGTAGTAGCCGTACCTCCCGACACAGCTGAGCTTCCTCGCTTGCGATGGCGTCCAATGGCGCTTCGAATGCTTCCACTGCGTTGGACTCCGGAAATCTTGTCCTCGTGGATGCTGCCCTGCGGAGGGGTTCGGTCGCCGGTGCTTCCTGGATCGTACAGTGATTGGGGTCTCGCCGCATTTCGGCCGTCATCTACTCCGAGGTCGCGTGTGGCAGCGGCATAGGCAGCGTCAGTCGGAGCTGACTCGCTTCTAGCTCGTGCGTCCGATTCGGGGAATTTTGCTGTAATGGGCGTTCCTGCATTGCTGGCTGTGTCTGTTATACCTAATTGACTGAGGCTCAGCTCGCCCGACCCAATGGTCTTGACTGCAGGCTCTTTCTCCATGGCCGAACCTGTTGCGGATGGAGGTGGCGGCTCGACCTCGGGTTGCTCGTCGATCTTGATATCGGGGGGTTTGCCTACGTTCTTGTTCTTGGGAGGGGTCGGCCCTATTCCGGTATTCTGGATGGTACTTGTGAGCGAGGTCGCGGCGTTTTGCGCAGCCGAGAAGACAGATGAAAAGAAGCCGCTTCCGCCAGATGGAGTTCCTGGGTTGCTTGCGGTCCCGTTCTCGGGGGTGGGCGTCAAAGGCGCAAGGGTTATGTTGGACAGTTTGCTTGGCCCTAAACTTCCAGATCCTGATCTACCCCTGCGGTGAGCAAGCATACTACCCGTGGCAGAACCACCATTCGTGTTGCCTGAGGCAGTGACAGAAACCTCCGGAGCGGGCTGCGGAGCTGGGGCTGGCGGAGGAGATTGAGCGTAGGGTGCGTTGTGGTCGGTTGGCGTCGGAGGGGTATTGACGATGACGGGCGTCTTGTCGGCGTTGGGCGGGGTTTGGGGTACGAAGGAGGTGTCGATTCGTGAGGTGTTCGTGGAGGCCCTGGAGCGACGTCGCTCAGGGGATTGCGTTGCTGATTGTTTTACGCGAGATGCATCTGCGTCGGTGGTCGCATTCGGTTGGGGCGCGGTCGAATTGTCTAGAAACGGCTTTGTGGTTGTGATGAGGTCAGAGGTGGAAGCAGTGGCTCTGCCTCGGTCTCTAGTTCTCCGCGTGTCTCGGTCGTGGTCGGGGGTTTCGTCACCGCCCAGGGACCGGTCAGGGCTCGTGGCGGCGCTGGGAGTCTTTTTTGACTTTGTAAAAACACCTTTGAGACGGCCAACGGGGGATGGCGATCTCGTGGTGTTTTTCTTGGGTGGCACAAGACTTGAAAGACTGCGTTTGGAGCGCAAAGACGAATCTGTCGAGGATTCGACGGATTGCGTCCGCTTGGCAGAGAGAGTGGATCGCGCCGAGGCGATCTGGGAGAGTTGGTCGTCCAGTATCTGAGGTTGGGGTTCAGGCAAGTGGGTTGCCTGAACGATAGGGGAAGAAGTGGTCAAGTAACCTATTTGCGAAGGATGTGTCGATATGGCACTTGGTCGAGAG